AAACAACAACAACAACAACAACAACAATAATAATAGCAATAGTAGTAATTACGGCCTAATTAACACAAAAACAATCACTGCATAACTACAATCTGCAGTAAAGGAGAAAATTGTATTACATTGCATAAATATTTTACTATGTATTTTACAACAACAACAACAACAACAATAATAATAATAATAATAATAACAATAATAATATTAAAGGATGTAGTACTACAGTCTTAAATATATAGTTTATATAGGTTATGTGCACAGTGCCATAGAAGAACCACTTTTGGTTCCCTTTTGAGAACCATTTTAGCGCATAAGATGTAAAGAACTTAAATAACTTTTTGAAACAAACAACAACAACAACAATAATAACAGTATCAGTAGTAGTAATTATAGCCTAATTAACTTAAAAACAATTAGTGCATAACTACAATTTGCAGTTAAGGAGAAAGTTGTATTACAATGCATTTATATTTTACGACAACAAGACTAATATTAATAGTAATAATAATGATAATATTAATAATAATAGAAGTAGTAATTCAGTCTTAAATATAAAGAGTTATGTGCACGGTGCCATAGAAGAACCACTTTTGGTTCCCTTTGGAGAACCATTTTAGTGCATAAGATGTGAAGAACTTAAATAACTTTTTTCATTAACACCCACAGTGTAAAAGTTCTAAGAAAAATGCTTGAATTGGTAAAAAAAAACCTTCACACTGTCATATGAAGATACTTTAAGCCTTTAAAAGGTTCTTCACAATCACAAATCTTCAAATAGGCAAAAGTGGTTCCGCCATGGCCCCACTCAGAGAACCCTATGAGGTCCTTTTTTAAAGGGTGGAGTTGCAGTAAAGGAGAAGGAAACAACAACAACAACACTGATAACACAAAGAAGACAAATAATAATAATAATAAGAAGAAAAACAACAAAAATATCAGTAATAACAGCAGTAAAAGAGGATAACAGTGTACTGGATAAGTATTTTACTGATATTTCACTTCAGTGCTTGTTAACCGTCACATCAAATTTTAGTGCTGCAACACAAACCCATCAAACTTTAGCAGCAGGCAGACAGTAAACGGCCGAGCCGTTATCACCAGGAATAGACGCAGTGGAGGAGCAGCCGAGACATTAACTTCAGTGACATGCTGACCAAATGACGACGCTCCCCCCTGGGGCAGCAGGGTGGGTGGTCTCTTTGCCTGGGGCAGATTCGGCCGTGGGGCACGGCGGGGGCTTAAGAGCTCATTATTGATCCTAAAAACGTGCTCTAAAACTAACATTTGCATAAAAGTATAAGGTGTTCCAAAAAAATCGGGAGAATTCAAATTAATGGATTTCTATTTATGCATCACAAGTGGTCCTTAATTGGATATGAGGGCTGGTTTAACTTTTTCAGCATCAAATCATCTTTTTTCATTAATAATTTCTAAAAGTTATTGAATTCCTATGTCTATATATCTAGGTCCCTGACTCACAGTTTATTCTGAACTTTAATTTTTAATTGACTAATTTATTCATTTTTTATTTCGTTTTATTTTTTATAAGAACTAGATTGACCGATCGCTGTGTAGATATAAGGCTCTAGTTAGCCTAGTCATTGTTTCAGCACGGAGAGTTTATAGAGAGGCTGTGCCGACTGGACAAAAGGGGGACGAAAGTACAAAAGTAACTTTTCAATTCGATTCTTCATGCCCCTACAGTTATAAGGGTTTATAATCGCTCCCTGGTTCAGCGTTTGGGAAAAGACACCCAGGCTGAGTCTTTACAAAATGATTTCTCAATGCAGAGGGGAAGGAGGATTAGCATTACAATTATGGGAACAGCATGGAGCTCAGCGGAGAGAGAAAAACCATTTATTTCTCCATTTTTAAAGAGCGGCGCCTTTGAAGTGCAGAGCTGTGTTTGTATTTTGTTGAATGAGAGCACGTCATGAGTAAAGACTAGCGTATATGCAGCATGAATATAAAATAAAGTGATTTTTTTAGCTGAGAGTTATTGATGGCTTCATGCAACAGCAGCGCAAGACCTACAGTGAAATATATATATGATATGTTTACACCAAACCACTCTGAATGACTCTGTTTACATCTGATCTACTGAATATATATCATATCGCTGTTGTCGGAAGAAAAAACTTGTATTTCCAAAATGGTAACTTTACAGGAAAAAGAAAAAACCTACTTTACCTTTAATGTAAGTCAATGGAACCAGAATTTTTTTCAAGCAATTTTGGGCTCTTTTTTTTGGTCCATTCTTCATGAGATTTACACACAATATAAAGTGCAACATGAGTTTTCAAATTATGTCAAAAACTGAAAAACGACAAAAATGGAGATACAAGGTTTTCTTCCGACTGCAGCGATATATGTCACTGTAGGTCTTACACTGCTGTTTATTAAATGGGTTTAATAACATTCTGTTAAGTTGGTTCAACTCCTGGACAGGTCTACTGTGTTCACACCTCTCACTTTGGAACAGTATTACTTTATTTTAGACCAAAAAGATACAAAACGAGAAGAATAGAGCCAAACAAACTTCACTTCCTAAGCTGACAGATGGTAAATGTGCTAAGAGGTTGCACTGTAGGTCTATAGGGAACTCAGAACTCAAGTTTGTTCCTGCTAGCAACTTTTACTTCTAATCTTAGTTTAGTCGCAGTTTCAGCTCTTTTACTCAATATAGCTTTAGCCTGCTCTAGGGCTGTATGACTATACGCCCCATAGAAGCCAGTAGAAGCTCTTTTTGTGCCTTATCTTTTTTTGAAGCGCACATTTCAAAATCAAACCACAGATATTGTTTTAAAACACTCCGAAAAGTAAGACTGGTTCATGAAGACAACTGCTGGACTACTCCTTTAAAGGGGAACCCCGCTGACTTTTAAAAGATTCTACATAATTAAGTGGTTGAGATGTAAACAGAGTCATTCAGAGTGGTTTGGTGTGAAATGCTCCGCTCTAGACTTTCCATCTTAAACTTGCTGAGTCAGAGTTGTTCACAGTGAAGGTGACAGGAACCAGACGTCTGAAGAGTTTAACACCTCTGAAAGCTCCCTCACAGAAAGTTATTACATGAAATAGTTATGAATGTGCTGCTTGATGTCTGACACTTGGTTTAATGATAGTTTTGTGTTAAGGATTTGACTTAAAATGTATTTTGATCCATCCAGAGGTAAGTGCAGGGTGTTGTAAGGCACAATAGTCCCCAAAGAAAACTTTTTAGATTTATGACTATTTTACTTTCATCAACATTGCATGTAATGCTCAGAAGATACGTGTGGATTCACTAGTTGTTTTGGATAGTAAGTAAAATGGCTGTATTTGTGTTGTAGACATGGTGACCCCTGGTTTCCTATCAGTACCATTGTAAAGAAATCTAGTCTGTGCAATTAAACATTCACACCAAACCACTCTGAATGATTGTGTTTACGTCTCAGCCACTGATTTGTTCAGGAATTTTGAAAAGTGGGAGGAATTCCCCTTTAATGTCATGGTCGTAATCAACAGTGGATAATATGCATATCTACCTATCTGTCTATCTATCTATCTATCTATATATATATATATATATATTATCTACATAAATGTGTATATATATATATATATATATATATGTATATATATACATATATATATATATATGTATATATATATAAACAAATATTCTTTGTTGCTTCAAAGTTGGATTTTAATTGTATAATCATTTGGTTAAAACGTAATATTATGCTTGAAAATGCTATTTACTTGAAATATGATACTTTCTTTTGGCTCACTTGGCAACTTCACCACAGAAAAAACTTGTGGTCTCTTTAAACCCTCTCACTTGGCTCCGCCCCCTTCGAGTCAACGGTCACGTGACGGCAGCGGCCCGTGAAACTTATCGCTCGTTTGAACCGATTCAGTCCAAACGAATCTAGTTTTGTAGCGTCTAATTACATCTGTGTTTTAGGCGAAATACTTCAAATAAAAGCCTAATTAATATACAATCACAGTATGTAACATACAGTATCTAGTAAGTTGCTGGGACTTACTAGATACTGTATTAAGAACAACTTGGCTTACATTTTTTCTTGATAGAATCCAGCAAACTTACTCTTTCTGTTTGGGTTTTGTGCTTTTTGAGTTCAACTACATTAAATGTTCTGCATAATTCATTGGTTGAGGTGTAAACAGAGTCATTCAGAGTGGTTTGGTGTTGAATGGTTCACTGTGGAGAAATTTACAGACTCTGATTTCTTTACAGTGGTGCTGATAGGAACCAGGGGTCACAATATCTACAACACAAATATGGCCATTTTATTTATTATCCAAAACCACCAGTGAACCTACACGTGTCTTCTGAGTTTTCATATTTTCGTTTGATTTCATTCCCATTTTCATATGGAATGATGATGATGATAAAATAGTCATAAATCTGAAAAAAAAAAATCTTTTTGCCATGCATGTATTCCTCCAGCAAGAATAGATTAAAGCAAATGGAATAAGATACATTTTAAGGCAAAACCTTAGCATAAAACAATGTGTCAGACATCATCAGGCAGCACATATCTAACCAATTCATGTAACCATTTTCTTTGAGGGAGCTTTTAAAGGTGGATGTCTGGTTCCTATCACCACCACTGTAAACTATTTTGACTCGGCAGGTTTCTCTAGAACGGATCATTTCACACCAAACCACTCTCAATGGCTTTGTTTGTATCTTAATCATTTAATTATGAGGATTTTTTTGAAAAATCGATGGAGTATCCCTTTAAATAGTAGCTACATTAGTGCAGTACAGTCACTGAATCACTCAGTAGGTGTGCAGACATTTAACTCACCTGCTGGATCGAAAGTCGCTGTGGGAGATGATAAAATATATTCGAGTAATCTTCATAATCATTTCATATCAGAAGGATAAAGCTGACCTGACGTTTGAATCAGGGAATCTGGCGTTCGATTCACAGTTCGAAAGAATCGGTTCGTTGAACTGATCCGAACTTCCCTAAAGTCCTGCCCAGAAAGTTGGAGGCGAAGTTGGGAGAGAGAAAAAAAAACAGAAGGAAAAAAAAAGTTTAGCGGAGTGAGTGCGCAGTGATTTCCTAACTCGCGCTACACTCGCTTCCAATGTCTCGGGAAACTTTTATCACGCTTGAAACTTTATTTTTTAGAAAATAAGTCACTTTCGGCTTTTGGAAGGATTTTCGCAGAGTTACCGTTGGGGTAGATATGCGCGTGACCGCTTTACTCAGCGCGTCCTCGCGAAGCAGAAACAAAAAACCGTTGGCTGAGTTTTTGGCTGTTTGTTTGTTTTTCTGCTTTTGACTCGGATAACTAAGCTAACTGACAAGAACCTGAGGAGATTTGTGTCCTGTGTACACTCGCTTTTTGGAGTTTACGGTGACTTTCCACCGTTTCTGAACGGCGTCAACGCTAGAGTGACTTTTTTTCCTCCCAGGACTCTTTATTTTTCTTGGTTTTTAATCTTTGGCAGTCATGGATCCGAGCCAGCACAACCCTCCTGCCGGCCACCAGATCGTCCACGTCCGGGGGGATTCAGAGACGGATCTGGAGGCTCTTTTCAACGCCGTGATGAACCCCAAAAACGCAGCCGTGCCCCCCTCCGTGCCTATGAGGATGAGAAAACTTCCAGACTCCTTCTTCAAACCTCCAGAGCCAAAGTCCCACTCCAGACAAGTAGGTTAAGATACAGCAAAGAGCACCACACAAACCTCCAGAGACTCTCTGTAAAGTTTAAACCAACCCATCAACTTGGCTTCTTTTTCGAATTTCCCGTTCCACCTTAAACGGTGCAGCAGTTAACCTACATTCTGCCGCCTGCACCATTTAAGGTGGAACGGGGAGTTAGAAAAAGAAGCTGGCGAATAAGCAGCCAGCTCATCTCTCTCACTAAAACTTCTGCTTCGTCTTTTTTAATTTAACGTTTTAATGCTTTTCACCCTCACTTGGAACCTTTTTTTGCCTGATTTAACCCCAAATTTGTCATTTGTGGTGTTTATTTTATACGTTTTAATGAAAAAAAAATCGTATGCCTGAGTTCACAGCCACATAAATAGCCTGTGTTACATAAATGTGCTTCGTAAACGCGTTTAAACGCTTAGTATTCGCACTATTTTGAATTGTGGCTCATTTCAGATGTTTTATGGCCTTAAACAAGTCCTACAAAAGGAGAAAGATTGAACACGCAGCAGGAGTGAAGTTTATAGTTAGCTAACTTTTCTACTGTCCCTTCTTTTTTTTTTCGTGTGCGCATGCGCAGCGGCGCCTCTCCTCTCCCCTCCTTCCTCACCCTGAGCTGAGATTTGCCCCGGGACAGGCCTCCAGTTTCCTCTCTTTACTCCTCCTTAGTTTAGCACACCACACTAGGCCACATCAGGAGAGCTTTGCTTTCAGATTTGTACCCATTTCCTCAAGAACTTAAAGCTCCTTTACTAGTGTTTAAAGCTCAGAGTGGATTGAAACCTTTCAGTGTTTTCATAACTTTATTCCATATCTGGTTTTTGGTCCATCAAGTGCTGGACATTCCTACTGTAAAACATAAGAACATGTAATGAATTCAGCCTTTTTTTCTTTTTCCCTATCTTTGTTCTTTTTCTTTCAGTTGCACTTATTTTATATGTTTATATATATTTGAAGCATCTTAACTTGCATTTTTATGTATGTATAAAAGTTGTCTACATATTATTATCAATATTATTATTATTATTAGTAGTAGTAGTAGTAGTAGTAGTAGTACTGGTAGTATTAGTATTAGTATTGTCAGTGGTAGTATCTTCTTAAAGTGGGCCCATAATCAAACATTAAAATGCACAGTAAAGATGTATATGAAGCTCTTTATTCTGTAGTGCTTTAAAACTCTACTTCTGTATTGTTTTGTGCACATTTGTCATGCATCAGGGTTTGGCTTTGCCGTTACCTGCTTATAATGATGTAATGATCCAGCTCTAATGTATCTATTCTTCTTCCCATCCTGATCTACTGGAACAGTCGTGTGACTCAGGCTGTTCCGTGAGTCACTGACTTAACCAACCGTACTCCCCTTTTTTTGTCCTTCTCGAAAGCTGCCTTTAATGCATTTGCCAAATATTGAGTCTGTTTTCCGCCTCTGTGTTTAAACTCTGTGGCAGACATGGCTTTTTTTCAATTAAACTTTTTCACAAAAAATCCCAAATACTTTTACATCCCTTATATCCTTTATGTTAAAATGTGCAGTGAAAAAATAGACATAAATTAACTAGTTACTCCAGTGTAATACATAGCTAGCTACATTAGATTACAGGTGGTTACTGTTATCTCATGGCCTATTTTACTATGATTACCATGTTATGTTGTGTTATGTTGCACTACAAGCAATTCTGTGATATTTTTAGCCTGATCTATTACTTTTCTTCCCTCCTGTATCATCTACCATTTTCTGCTAGTATCGTATGGACACTGATAGCAGATATTGTGTCCGTGCTGTTTTGATAGGGATAAAAGTACAAAATTAACTTTTCTGATTGATTCTTGGCCCTATTTTAGTTATAAGGGTTCATAATCTGATGCTATTAATCTTTTTTTCAGGTCAGCAAACAAACACTGCTTAGATATATGACTCTAAATACCCTAATTATTGCTTTAGCACAGAGAATTTTGGACAAGCTTTCAGCTTTTCGATTTCAGTTAATCAATCAGTGGATTGAATTTGAATTGTCGGTGAAGAGAAGTTGGTGGCAGGCAGGCATAACAACACACGACAGTGCAACACAGTGCAGTTCTGTGATGTACAAGATATTCCAGTCCACTCCAGGGTTCATAATCACTTGCGATTGATCTTTCGCCCCCTCCAGGCTAGCACAGACGCAGGCACGGCCGGCACCCTCACTCCACAGCATGTCCGAGCACACTCCTCACCGGCCTCCCTGCAGCTGGGCGCCGTTTCGCCAGGCGCGCTGAACGCCATGACCCCCGCGGGCACCTCCCCTCAGCATCTCCGCCAGCCCTCGTACGAGATACCTGATGACGTACCCCTGCCTCCAGGCTGGGAGATGGCCAAGACCGCTTCGGGCCAGAGATACTTTCTAAAGTGAGTTGTTTAAGGCGCTTTCTTTTATCTGACCTACAGCCAAAACTCTTTCTTTTAGGGATCTCTAACTTTGTGCGTTTGAAGTTTTTTTTTTTCCCCTTCACTGACAATCTGAGTAGGTTACGTTTTGTTCACCACGTAGGTATGTGTTCCCTGTAGATTTTAACTCGAAGAAATTTACTGATAGGAATTTTGATTTGCTGCTGGGATAACCGAGCCGTAGCTCAGAAGCAATAATACTCTGTGAATGAGTTGCACGGTCTGTGTGTATGTTAAGAAGTGCGGGCAGAAGTGTGAGTCATCGGTGTTCCCAGAGCTGACCTCTGCCTGACATCTGGGAGAGGTTTTGTTTTGAAACGCAAAGATTCAGCTTCTTCTTTGACATCGATTTCTTCAGTGGAGGGGAATTTCACTGATTTCACAAAATTTCTGCTTAAGTAAATTGTTAGGATGTAAACACAAATTATTAATGTCAGTCAGAGCGCTACCAGAACCTACCAGCATCAGAATTGCTCACAGTGGCGGTGACCGCTGTGTAAGCCTATAAAAGCTACCTCAGAGCAAGTTATTACACAAAATAGTAACAGATATGTTGTCTGACGCCTAAGATGATAGTTTTGATATGAGGTTTTGGCCTTAAACATATTATTTAAGCTCTTTTCATAGTGGGAAGGTGCATACAGGGTGCCCAAAAAGTCTTTTTTCTGATTTACGTCTATTTTAACATTACATACAGTCTAAAAATTTTAGGTGTGGTTCACTGATCATTTTGAATAATAAATAAAATGTCTGTTTCCATTATGTTTACATGGCTGTGTTTACATCCTGACCCTTGGTCACCACTGTGAAGAAATCTGAGTCAGTAAGTTTCTCTATAGCACCTTCGATTTCATGTCAAACCACCCTGAATGACTTTGTTTACATCTCAGCAATTCAATTGGTGGAAAAGCATTTTATATGTTGATAAAATCACTTTTTTTTAAACATAATTTAACAGAATGTCCCACTAACTAGTGCTGCTAACCATTACTTTGCCAAATACAGAAATATAAAAACATATGTCACGGAAAAGATAAAGTGGCTTGGTTCAGCTCTAAGCTGTGCGCTGCATTGGTTAATATGCTAGTAATGTCACAGCCATGATAACACACTTCTTCTCATGTTCAGTTGCTTAAATAAGTAATACAACTAGAATGGCACGTCTGCCTACCCTTTACGGCTTAGTGGAGTAAAACTAGTACAGTGACTTTTCCGGGAGTTAAAGGGCAGCCAGCCTGCTGTGCTCAGTGTATAGGTGACTGATAGTGTTATAGCATGTGTTGATTTGAATCACACGTTAAATGGTCTGAGTGCAGGTTGGAATACACACAGTGCTTCAAATAAGACGGTCTCCTTTAATCTGTGTAAACACAGAGCCTCTCTCGGATGAGTCCGCACTGTGCTGTAAGCCTCTGTGCTCAGGGCTCCCCTGGGTGTGTGTGTGTGTGTGTGTGTGTATGTGTGTGTGTGTGTGTGTTTGTGCGCCTGTGTGGATCATGTTTCAGACAGGAACAAAGGGCCAGTGTAGCAGGGGAGAGTGAGTGGAGGACAGGGAGGCCTGCTAAACTCATCTGCCTGATTTCAGGGCCTCGGCCACAAGAGCAAGACTAAACCTACTTTAGTTTCAGTGGAGACCTTCTGTTGTTTCCTAGCTGGTCAGCTTTTACCACTGATGAGCTAGTTAGTAAATGGTTTGCTGAAAAGCCACATTTCCCCTTTACTCCAAGTGTAGTTAGTCGGCCAAGACACGCTTGGTGTCTGAAGTGTGCTTCTTTAGTTTTGGTCTGAAGCTGTGTGACGTAGATATCCATCACTTTTTAGCTACATCAGTAGCTTCAAAGCTAAACTACTCCTTAAAAGTCTGTTGTTTTCTAGTTAAGATTGATGGTTGCACTTTTGAGGGGTGGTTTGCCCAAAAAGTTTGCGCAGCCCACCCCAGATGACCTCAGATGTTGTCAGTCAGCCAGAAAGACACGTTTGGTGTCTGACGCTTGCTTGTTTAGTTTTGTTCTTTGAGCTACAAGGCTAAAGTGACCCAAAGGATTTTGGGTAATATAGATGTCCGTTACTTGTTAGCTACATTAGCCTCATAGCTCCGCAACAAAACTAAAGAATCAAGCATGTCTTGGCTGATCGACTACATATGGAGTAAGAGTGAAATTGTGTTTAGTTTCTGTTGTTTTCTATCTAAAAACTGGTGGTTGCATTACATCATTGACTGTCATTGCTGCTGCAACTATTAGTGAAACTCTTTTAACCCTTAAAAGTTGCTGAGAACATTTATTCTACATAAACAGTGAGAGTTTGAAAGTTTCTAGACGCTGAAGATTTTTTTTTCCACTCCAAGTGATGCTCCCCTTTAATTATATAATTATATCTTCTTGTGCGTAAAAAAGCCTTTGGGGTTTTAAAATTGATGACCCGTCTGACCAGTCGGTCCTGGACAAACATGATCACCCTCAGATTTACTGGGATAAAAAAAGGGAGAGCTTTTGAAGCCAGATGTTTGGAGGAGAAACATCTGGAGAACATCTGGGCCATTTTCTGCAGAAAACGGTGCAAAAAAAGAGGGGCCTCGGGACAGGAAGGAGAAAAAAAAGCTGGCCGTTCGGTCAGACGGCTCACCAAAGCAAGTTTTTCTGGAAGTCTCCCAACGGCTAATGCATCAAACAATGAGAAGGGCTAATCCTGAAGACACGGACGCTGACAATCAACTCCTGAAAATGGCATATAGGTAGGAGAAAAGGGAAAAGCGAAGTCCCCTGTCAGACATTTTTAAAAGGCTCTCTCAAGAACACACACATTCATGGGGAGTCCCCCTGTCTGTGTGTGGGCATTGTTTGATCTCTATACACTGTCTCTTTGGGCGCTTGAATGCACAAATGAGGAGCGTCAGAGTTGAGCTGTAGACCACCCCCCCCTCCTTTTCCCCCTTTTTGTTTGGGGGTCCGAGCGAGATGGGAACCGTATTTTCTTCATCTCGCTGTTTGTTGTTGACCCCGGCCCTGTTTGTGGTCCGCTTTCCCACAGGATGCTGGTTTAGTTTGTCAACAACTACTTTGTTTTCCTCACTGTGAATGCCCACATGACCTCTATAGGGGTACAGAAGGGCAGAAAGATGTAAAAGGTTATCGTGATTGTTAGGGCTGCATGATATCGACATAAAATGCGATGTTCGGTGAAGCTGTTTGATATCATGATGATATGAGAAGCGATAAAGTATTACTATAATAGAGTGCCTCTGAATGGATGTGACTCAACTACGACTTTTTGGGATGTAAACAGAAATCTAACTAACCTAAGCTATTAACCTATTAAGCAAATAGCAAAATACAGAATTACAAAAGCACCATTTACTGCTGTGTAAAATAAAAGTGCAAGCACTTTTTTGAGCACTGAAAGGCTGAGAAATAGTCAGCATCACCTCAACGGCTTTTTCCATAACGTCTACAGAAATAAATATATATTTACTTTTTATGTAGGCACACAAGAATGAGTAAATATTTTGTTTATTTATTTTTATTTTATTTAGTTATTAAATATGTTTTTGTGTTGGTAGCCTCAGACACGTGAAACACAACACTGGGTGCGAGAACAGGCGTGTAGTTCAGGACGGAGGAGTTTTTGAGCTGCGTACGTGTGTGTTATGGAATTGGTTGTTTAGCCGAGTGGTTAAGTTACTTGTCTCTCTTATTTTTACCAGTTGTTTCATTTTTTTGTTTCTAGAGATGTAAAAAAAAGTCATTCTGAGTGGTTTGGTGTGAAGTGGTTCATTGTAGAGAAACGTACTGACTCTTTGCAGTTGCTACTGAAACATACTGATTTCTTTACAGTGGTGGTGATAGGAACCAGGGGGCATGATGTAGACATTATAGCCATTTTTATTTACTATCCACATGACCACTGAACCCACACGTGTCCTCTGAGTTTTTAAATGTAATGTTGATGATGGTAAAATAGTGTAAAGTCTGGAAACAAAGTTTTGTTTGGGGACTGTTGTGCATTATAACACCCTGCATGTATCACAATGCCTTGAATGAATAATAATAAAAAAAACTTTAGGTCAAAATTGGATCTCAGTAAACAGAAACCATTTTATGTAATAACTTCCTATGAGGGAGCTTTTCTAGTTAATTTTTTTTACAAATATTAAAGCAAAAATCATACATCTTTTTTTGAACATGTGGTGCTTCTGTTTTTGTGGTGTATTTTGTCTATTTCAATTTGTGAGCGAACATTAGAAGTGCAGCGTATCTTGTACGCCACATGCATCATGATATTTAGTTTCTCTGATGTTTGAACAGAAAGTTGGGACAGCAGCAACCAGTGGTGACACATTTTAATACAATCAAAATCCATGAATACAGTGATTTTTGCTCAACATTTCACATACTGCACTGCACTAAATACAGTTAAACAGGACTAATTATGCTCTCTTTGCAAGAAAACATTCAGCTCAATGTGCTGACGATATCCACAGTCTGCTCGGAAAAGCATATTTGATCAATTAATCATGGTATAAACAATATATAACAACAACAGTCATCATAATGCCCACCCAACCTTAAACTGTCCTGATGTTCTGTGATATTTTTGCCATATTGCCCACAAAGGGTTCTCTACGCAAATCTCGACTAAAACATTATGGCACAATTGTTATTTGCAGTCTATTCATAGTGTTTACAAGGCGCTCCAGATCAAAGTGTAGACAGAGGATTTGCAGACTTGCAGGCAGCTTTGGCCGGTCTGTGCCAAGAGAGAACGAACCGCACTCTCCTATTTATAAACATGGACTATGTGGATGGGGGGGTGATTAGAGAGAAAGTCGACCAATCTCTGTCTGTCTCTCTCTCTCATGCACTCTCACGCATCTCTCTCCTCTAAGGTCAGAGATTGCAATGGAGAAGCAGAGTGTGCGTTTATGACTCGCGCGCCGCTCTTTAATGTCCAACACCGATCAG